GATGCATAGGAGTACCCGATCTTCTCCAGGATCGCCTTGGTCGCGCCTCCAGTTCCGGCGCCGACTTCAAGGAAGTTCATTCGGGGAGACTTCAAGCAAAGCTGTTCCATCACCCCGGCAATCAAGAAGTTCAGCAGCTGGAACCCGATGGCATCTACATAGTACTGCTCAAGGTAGTTATCCTTGGTCATGTATTGCAGGATGCTGGTATCTCCATTCAGCACCGAAGGCAGAAGAAGATGTTCTCCGACGGCCTTGGTCAGGTTGAAATCGGCGTCTGTCGGAGGATAGCTGTCCATCATCTTGAATATATCCTCTCTGGTATCACTTACCCAAGTCTGCGAGGCAAACGGATGTTTCCCGTCATTGACAATGTGGAACAGCCGCTCAGCGTTCTTCAGCAAAGCCTGTCGATACCATGGAAGGGTCTCGCGCTGCTCCGGACTGACCGAGAGATGGAAGGTCTTGAGGTAGTAAAACGCCGCGCGCTCAGCGTCAAGGGCCTTCCTGCTCTCCTCGGGGGTTGCCTGTCTGTCCCCAAAGATAACGTCCGCGTTCGGCTTATCAAGGCACAGAAACGACTCCTGGAAGAGATACCGGTCGTTCTCAACAGTCGCGCCCGCAAAAGGGGAGAAGGTGAGCCCCTCAACCTCGATAATCTTCTCCTTGAAACCCTCCGAGAAGACCTCCACATCTCCAGTGACGTGCGTATCGCGAGGATCAGTGATATTGCAGTCGATCTCAACATTATCCGTCATGTTGCTGCCGCAGAGTCCAGGGATGATCGAGATCCGACGACAGAAGGTCGGCGCCACGATCGTCCAGAGCCGGCCATCTCCTGGGGCGCTATGGGCAGCGTTCAGACCCTGCAGGGCACTATCCAGCATACCGGGATGGAAGAGCAGAGACGTTTCAGAATCGTCGAATCTCTCGCACCGAATTGTGCCCGTTGCGAAGCCGGCTTTGCGGGACACATTCGTGAGCGCGCGGAAGGGGCCCTCGTATCCGAATCCGAAGTCATCGCGCAGGATCTGGTAGAAGCTGTCCACGTCTACTACGGTCAGTTTTCCGAGTGGGGGAAGTCTAGGTGAGAAGTGGGATGGCGAGACCTCGCCCTCTCCTAGAAGCACACGCACACGACCGCAGCAGTTGAGTGCAAGGTTGGCAGCGTCTTTGCTTATACTTGAGTAGGCCGCGAAGTCAGCGGTGATTTCTTCCGACTCGGTGTCGAGGGTAGACACCTTGGTCATGGATGTGAGGAGCTCGGTGCCTGTGGAGTCGTGGATGGCGATGGCTTTGCGGATTTCAAGGTCGAAGAGATCGATCGATTTCACGGGTCTCCCTTGGGCCAGTTGCAGTGCTGCTTCCATGGCAAGGCAGATGTAAGCTGTTGCGGGAAAGACGACTTGGCCTTGTAGCGAGTGTCCCGACAGCCACTTGAGTTCGTTCATCTTCAGGATATTCCGCCACCTCCATTCCTCCGTTGCTCCGTCTGCCGTCTGGATGCCTAGTAAGTCATGGAAGGGCACCGGGTGGTTGTGGAAGGTCTTCATGAGTCTTGATTCGGCAAAGTACCCCCTGCCATGAGTCCATGGGTATGTTGGAAGACCGCGGATCATCGTAGTCGGAGTATCCGGGTGATTTGTCTGCTGGAACGCTCCGAGCGTCACAGCAGCAGGGCCAAACCGACACCAAAGGAATCCAAGGGCGTCGGAAAATGCCACCGCACTGCTCTTCCCACGGTTCAAGGTGCCAGTATATGGGATTTCCCGATCCACAGCGGCAAGAATAGAATCTTTCGCAGGTCCTTGCAAAGCAGGATGCGGTCCCACCTCTACAGCGCAGTTGGCGGCTTTGTCCGCAGATGTCAAGCATGTTTGAACAGCTGGGCAGAATAACACGGGCTGTACCATGTTATCGACCCAGTATTGGCTGTCCAGGCTCTCCAGGCTATTGACGACCTGACCGTTTCGGACGCTGCTGAACCACTGCGGTGCATCGAGCCCGGGCTGCTGGACTTGTATGTTGCAGTTTCTCAATGCCGTAAGGTAAGATACAGAGCATTTACGCATGTGGTTCGAGTGATACGCCGTGTCGACCTTTAAAAGCCGGGCGAATTTCTCCTCCTCTTCTAGCACCCTCTGTGCCAGGGCTATAGCGTCGATATCACCCGACAGAGTCACGCTGCTAGGGGAGTTATGGGCAGCCACGCAGATCCTCCCATCGAAGTCATCAATCTGGCAAAGCTCGCTGGCATCCTCAAAGGAGGTCCCGGCAGCCAGCATTGCGCCCTTCTCTCCCGCAGGCCCGGCCGCCATATCGGCGTAGAATCCCCGGTAGTATGCAATGCGGATAGCATCCCATGCAGTGATGAAGCCCGCCGCATAGGCAGCAGCAATCTCTCCAGAGGAATGCCCAACAACGGCCTGGAACTTGACTCCCGCAGCGCGGAGCAGGTCAACCAGGATGACTTGGACAGCCGTGCAGAGAGGCTGCGAAAGAGAGGCTTTGCCGACGGGGGCAGTGCTGTCAGTAAGTACGTCTCTTAGAGTCCAGGATGGGCTGTGGTAGGACGGTAAGCTTGCGAGAGATGAATCCAGCTCTTCGACGGTCCTCCGCGCCAGCGGGATCGACGATATCAGCTGGGACCCCATGCCTTGCCACTGAGCGCCCTGGCCGGTGAAAATGCCGAGCAATGAAGCAGTTTCAGGTAAAGCGGAAGTGGAGGGCAAAGTAGCGTCTTTCTCTGACGCGGCTTCTATCGTGGACTTGATCTTGTCCCTAAGTTCGTCGATCGATGCAGCGGAGATTGCAAGTCTTCGCTGCAGGGCAGATCGCTTGGTGCTTAAGTTGTATGCCAGTCCACTCATATTGACGTCGGCGTCCTCGTCCATGAATTCCAGTGTCGACTGCAGGAGTGTCACTAACGAGCTATCAGATGCTGCAGAAAATACAGCTGGAATACAGCATGTTCCTGATGTGGCCGTCTCTATTTCAGTGACTGGGTCACTGGCCGTTGGTGGATCGTATGTTTCAAGAATGCAGTGAGCGTTGGTCCCTCCAAAGCCAAAGCTGTTGACACTATTGTCACACAATTAGCTGTTATCCAAAGGGGCTGACAATATTCAACTAACCTAGCCCTTCGAGGTGTGCCATCTGGCAATTCGGGCCAAGGTTGATTGGCCGTAGGAACACGGAGATGACTTGTGAACCGTTCAAGGTCAGGGTTTAATTTATTGAACAGTAAATTGGGGGGAATGGTTGCATTGCGAAGAGCAAGACAAGCCTTCATGAGACCTGCCAGTCCCGCTGTGCCTTCGGTGTGGCCGACCACGGTTTTGATAGACCCGACGAAGAGTTCGCCTTCGGAGTCAGACTCCGGGAAAAACGCTCTCATCAGGGCTTCGGCTTCTTGAGGGTCCCTAAACGGGGCCTATTAGTATTTTCGGTTTCTAACAGTGTACAGATCTCTGAGGCTCAACCCACCCAGCTTTCGTCCCCGTGCCATGCGCTTCGAAATACTGACACCGATCAGCCTCCTTCGTCGGATCCAGCCCAGCGCGGGCATAAGTCTCTCGAATGAGCGCCGCCTGGGCCGTAGCACTGGGCATAGTCAACCCCTTCGTCCTGCCATCGTGATTCACTCCCACTTCCCGAATCACGGCTTCGATATGGTCCCTGTCTGCAATCGCATCGCTGAGGGTCTTCAAAACAACGCAAGCAACACCTTCGCCTCGGGCGTAGCCATCTGCGTCGGCATCCCACATGTGACATCGAGACGTCGGTGACAACATACTGAGCTTGCTCAGCGTGATGAACGTAAAGGCCGACAAACACAAGTTTGTCCCACAAGCTACAGCAACGCGGCTCGTGCCGTTTCGAAGGGCTTGCACTGCCTCATTCACAGCGACGAGACTGGATGAGCAGGCGGTGTCTATCGTCATGGACGGGCCATGCCAGTTAAAGAAGTAAGAGAGTCGGCTGGAGGCATTACTCGCCGCCGTACCGGACGCAGCGTAAGTCGGGACGGAGTTCACATCCTGGCCATTAAGCGCGAAGTAGTCCTGGGACATGAGGCCGACAAAGGCTCCCGTATTCGAGTTGGACAGGTCGGCCAGTGTATGGCCTGAGGATTCGAGGGCCTCGTAAGCGACCTCGAGGAGCAGGCGTTGCTGCGGGTCGATGGCCTCTGCTTCACCTGGGGGGACGGAGAAGAATTTTGCGTCGAACTCGCGCACGTCTTCGGAAAGGAGATAGGCCTGGCGGATGTTGGTGGTACCGTGGTGGCTGCCGGTTGGGTGGTAGAAGCGGTCGAGGTTGAATCGGGAGTCGGGGATGTCGCGGGCGACGTCGCGCGGGTTGTGGAGGAGGTCCCAGAGTTTGGAGGGGGAGCAGGCTTCACCTGGGAAGCGGCAGCCCATGCCTATGATGGCTATGGGTTCATTTCTGCTGGGGTGCATTGTGGGAGGATGGATTTAGAACTTGGGTATGAGAGGGGAGAGATGCTTCGAGACGAATAGTTGATCAAGAAAATTGAGTGAAATCCTGCGTCCTGGTTGCCAAACAACTTCTCTACAGTTCTCTAACTATATGTACAGTATAATACAGCAATGCTATCAAAGTGGCTGGCTATGCTAAGATTACAAGACCACTAGCCCTAAGTACGCCTTGCGCGAACAGATGTTGCCAGAGCGTGGCCAAGGCCGGCTGGGGGCCGTAACGACAAGACGCAATATATACTCCGGTTGGTATACGAGGACCGGCAACTTAATCTGACAGTTGAGATGTTCCGGAGCTTACCTACGTACTAAGAATTATGGATTTATGAGTGAGTTTCTGGTGATCTTACGCTCGCCCGGAGTGGAGGCTTTATTTCGATCCTAACCGTAACCATGGTACTTATTGATACTTATGAGATTCTTAGCAGCACATCAAGCATTGGAACTTCGTCGCTAATTTTTGTCCTTTTCCTTTTCTTGTTACTTATTTATTTTCCCACTATGTCCGAGCTACCGTCCAATCAAACCGCCATCGTCGCTCTCGATGATGGTACACTCGGCCTACGCAACGATGTCCAAATGCCCTCCCTAGAAGACGACATGATCCTAGTGAGGAACGCCTTCGTCGCCCTAAACCCAATCGACACCAAAATGGTCGGCAAGCTCGCAAGTCCCGGCGCAATCGCCGGAATGGATTTCGCAGGCGAAGTCATCTCCATTGGGTCCAAAGTCCAAACCGCCGCGCCCATCAAGCCGGGCGACCGAATCTGCGGCGCAGTGCCGGGGATGCACTCTCTCACTCCTGCGGTAGGCGCGTTTGCGCAGTATGTTGGCGCGACGGATCTTACTACCATGAAGGTCCCGGATTATATGTCGCTTGAAGAAGCGGTAACCCTGGGAAGTGGGATTGGGACTATTGGGCTTGCGCTGTTTAAGTCGCTGGATGTTCCTGGTTCGCCTTGGTTGCCGGCTGACAAACCGGTGGATGTGCTGGTGTATGGTGGGAGCACTGCGACTGGGACTCTGGCTATTCAGTTGCTTAAACTGTACGTTATAGTACCGCTCTGTTATTTCCTTAGAAGTAAATACCTACTAACTCAACCTTCCAGATCGGGCCTGAATCCCATAACAACCTGCTCACCGACCAACTTCGACCTCGTGAAATCCTACGGCGCCACTGCAGTCTTCGACTACCGCCAGGAGACATGTGCAGACGATATCCGCAAGCACACTCGAAACTCACTCAAGTTCGTCCTCGACTGCATTTCCGAGCCAGAGACAATGCAGTTCTGCTACAAATGCCTCGGCCGGTCGGGGGGGAAATACACCGCATTGGAACCCTACCCTGAGTTCCTGCATACCCGGCCGAAGACGGTTGTGCCAGATTGGGTGCTTGGTCCGACGCTGCTTGGGAAAAGGCTTGGATGGCCAGAGCCGTTTGGTGGGGAGGGGAACGAGGAGTATAGGAAGTTTGGGTTCCAGTGGTTTAAGCTGGTGCAGGAGTTGCTGGATCAAGGGAAGTTGAAGTCACATCCGCATAAGATAGTAGGGGACAGTCTTGGGGAGACGTTGTGCGGTCTTGGGCTTCTTAAGGAGAAGAAAGTCTCTGGTCAGAAGCTTGTGTGTCGCGTTTGATGATATCAATGTCTTGTACTATGTCCTAGTTAAGCTACGTATACATCAGGACTGTCCTCAGCGGAAATGCATAACGCATCAAAAGACTACAGCTGTCCATACGAGGTTTCGCCTACGTAATAGAAAAATACATAAATCATTGTTTTCGCACCGAAATAGCAGCCTTTACTATTGCATTGCCCATTGCTAGTAAAGATTGAACCAATAGCCGTCATTTATGAGATCATATGGTATCACCTCCGAGCAGGGTGGTTGAAGTATACGACCAATCGATGGTTTAGTGTAATCGGCAGCCTGTTGAGTAATTTAGCCTTGTCTGCCTGCCTGATTTTTCCATCCGCAAGAAGTCACCGGTCCTGTTGGGCTCAACACCGGCGCAGCTAACACGCCGGCAGCCTGCAACAAATGAGAATGGCTTATATCTAGTCTCTGTATCAAGGACACACGCTTGAGTAGCTGGATGAACTGTTGCCACATCTATTGAACAAGTTATTCAATCAGTTTCTGTTTCAGCAAACCTTCAGGATGATCTCTTTTCTCGAGTTCTGGCTGTGTACGCTTACACTAGCCTCGGGCGGAATCGTCCACCAGGCTCTCACTTGCGGTGAGCATATAGCACTGCTCTTCCAAGTGCTAGGCGCTCATGTGGTTGCCTTTGTTGCCTTTGCTGTGTATTGGATGATCCTCTACCCCCGTTATTTCACCCCCCTCGGCAACATCCCCACTCCTTCGGTACGTATCCCCATCACATCACATCACATTAGACAGAGACAAAGACAAAGCTGACATATAGTAGCGTCGAAGAATCCTGACAGGGAACTACCCAGTCCTGTTCCCCGATAACGCATGGGTTCCTCTGCGGGAACTCGCCGAAACCACCCCCAACGACGGTCTCCTCCGAATCTACTCTACGTTGAGCGGCGAGGCCCTCCTGGTGACAAGCCCGCCGGCAATCAGAGACATGCTCACAGTCAATGCCTTTGACTTCGCCCACCAGGACCTCGTCAAGATTGCTATCAAGCGATTCACGGGTAGCAATCTTGGTTTCCTTAGCAATGATGAATTCAAGGCATGTAAACAACACGTTGCCCCTGGGCTACTAGCTGATCAGAGAGAACACAGCTCCACCGCAAAAACATGATGCCAGCATTCACAGTCCCACACGTCCGAAAATTAACCAGCATCTTCTGGGCCAAAGCTCAGGAAATGGTGCACTGCATGTCGAACGAGCTCCGCGCAGACCCCTTCGCCCGGATCAACTTCCGTGAATACGTGTCTAGGGCTACACTCGATAACATCGGGCTGGCGGGGATGGGCCACGATTTCCAGACGCTCAAGCAGCCCGATAACGACCTGCGCAGCCACTACAGGAAACTGATCCTCGACCCGACCCGCGTGTTTAGCTGGGTGGGGCTGCTGAGTCGGTACTTCGACATGAGACTATTGATGAGGGTGCCGCTAAAGAAGTTGATCGAGATCTCGCAATCGGCGAACTACCTCCGTGCTGTCACGACGGCGGTCATTCAGGACAGAAGCGAGAAGCTAGTTGAGGCTGAGGATAACAGGGCTAAGGATATCATCACTGTCGCTCTCGCAAGCGGTGTTTTTGACGAACGCCATCTAGTCGACCACGTCATGACCTTCCTAACAGCGGGCCACGAGTCCACCGCCACGGCCTTTGAATGGACGATGTACGAGCTAGGCCGCCGGCCGGAGATGCAGAGCCGGTTAAGGGACGAGCTGCGAGAGGCAATAGGCACGGATCTGGCGGCTGTGGACTTTGGATTACGGGTCCAGAATCTGCCTTACTTGAATGCGTTCTGCAGTGAGGTGCTCCGGTGCTATCCCTTCTCGCCGATTATCGTAAAAGTTGCACAGCAGGAAACTACGCTTATGGGCCAGCGGATCCCCAAGGGCACTGTTGTGCTGTACTCGGCTGAGGTGTCGAACCATGACAAGACGCTTTGGGGGCCAGATGCGGATAAGTTCGATCCGGAGCGGTGGATAGGCGAGGGGAAGGCGAAGTCTGGTGGTGCTTCGAGTAATTATGCCATGCTTACATTTGGCGCGGGTCCACGGAACTGCATTGGAGCGAATTTTGCCAGGGCGACGCTTGAGTGTCTTGTTGCGGCGGTGTTGTCTACGTTTGAGATTGAGCTTGTGAATCCTGATACGGCGGGGAGGTTGAAGTTCGGGCAGACGAAGAAGTCGGCAGAAGGGGTTTACGGAAGGCTTAAGTTTGTACGACCGGTGGAAGTCTAAGGACTGGAAGATTGTTTGGTATAACCTCCGTAGCGTTAGATGACTACCTTAGGGTTATTTAAAGGGGATGCAGCCGTCCGAGCAAAAAGTCGCCGGTCAGCAACAAAACACATTTATTAAATACAATATAAATTATAAAGTCATTCTGAAAAAAGGCCACGAGCTTAACAGTCGAGTTGCAGAGCAGCAATGAACCTCTGGAAACTTTCAGTCGGCATCCTCGCCGCCGTAAAGTCCGTCTGGACCCGCGGCAGCCCATTCGCCGCACTCACAGCCCTATGGCCAACAAACGAAGAGGGCAAATTCATCATTCAATCCGAAGGCATTCGACTGGCTTTTACAAACCACGGCGCAGCCCTTACAAATCTCTGGCTGAATAATACCCATGGTGAGGAGATCGATGTTGTACTGGGCTTGGACGATGCGAGGGGTTATCCGTCGCTGCAGTCAAATCCGTTTTTAAATGGGGTTATAGGTGTGTGTTATCGACCTTACCCTTTCTCTTTCTTTTTTTGCCAGTTAAATAAGCTGATTCTGCAAACAACAAGGACGATACGCCGGCTTCCTAAGCAACTCCAGCTACCCAGTCGACGGAACAATCTACCCCGTAACCGCAAACGCTCACAACGCGACCTCGCTCTTCAACGGCGGAGATAAAGGCTGGGGCCGACAGACCTGGGACATCGCAGTGCATATCAACAATAGCATTACATTCGTTCTGTTTGATAACAGGTGGAATGGGTTCCCTGGGATCTTTGCCTCGTGCGTGACGCATACGGTTACGCCGTATGAGTGGCGGATTGCCTTTGGGGTTACGCCGTTGCTCAAGGCGGGCCCGATTAATTTGAGTCAGCAGGTTTTCTTTAACATTGATGGGTTTAGGAATAATGCCAGCACCAGCGATGCTAGTAATAGTACGGTGCTTGATCATAGGCTGAGACTTCCTGTTTCCGGGATGCGGTTCGATGTTGATGAGCGGGGGATTCCGACGGGCGATATGAAGAGTAATAGGGAGGGGAAGGAGTTCGACTTTTGGTCTGCGGATAAGTCTATTGGCGACGAGGTTCAGAAGGGTAATGCCGGATTTGATGTGACTTATGCGCTCTCCCATAAACCGTTGGGCGACAAGGAAGATGAGCCTGTGGCGATCCTCTCCTCGAAGCTGTCTGGTGTCACCATGGAGCTTTACACGGACCAGGACGCTCTCCATGTTCATACGTGGGACAATAACTTGGGTAATATGACATTTTTCTGTAGAGGTTGGAGTCACAACTGATAGTGTCTACAGGTGGGTTGCGGTTGAAGAAAGGTCAAGGGGCAGGCAAAGTCGCTCAGCACGCGGCGATATCTCTAGAGATGCAAGACTGGCCAGATGCAGTGCACCATCCGGAATGGAGACACAGGAAGACCATTTGGGGGATGGACGGACTATATACGCGGTTTGCAACGTACAAGTTCTCGGTCGAGGGGAAATAAACATATAGAAGCCATTGGCCTAGTAATTGCTGCAGACAGATATACATTTATATAGAAGCAACCGTGTCTATGAAACTACAATTTGTAAACCAGTCTCTCTAGGCAGATACCATTCTAGCCGCAACCTCACTCGCAACCTCAACAGCCGGCACGGAGTCATACTCACCACGATCCCGATCCCGATACTCCGCCATAACCTCAGCAATATTCTGCACATCGCCCGTCTTCACCGGAATCTCATGCCCCCCCTTAAACCTGACCACCGTCGCAAGCCTCTGATTAAAATACTGCTTCGACAACCTGGTTCCCTTGGCCAACCACGGATCACCACTCCCCTGAACATGGACAGACACAATATCTAGCGGCCGCGATACCTGCGTCTCAGCAGCACTCAACGGCAACGAAGGACAAATCCCACAAATCATAATCGCAAACTTGATGTCCCTCCCCAGCTCAGGGTCAAGACAAACCGCCGTCGCAACCCTCGTCCCCTGACTAAACCCCATAACGCCGACAACCCCGGCCCCCGGTCCATTTCGGCGCTCGCGCTCAATAACATCCTTCAATGAATCCCGTACAACCCGGCGTTCACGCTCGACATCTTCCACTGTGACGTCGAATAGCCCGATTGTGTTTCTGTCCTGATGCCACCGTCTGTACGGCTTTATGTGTGCGTAGTAGAGCGGCACGCCGACGCCAGCCTGGGCCGTTGTGATGGGCGAGTTGAGGAAGAGGAAACGGAAGTGGGGGGATAGGACTCGCGTGAGATTTTGGGACTGGGCTTGGAAGATCTCCCCGCTGCTGCCGTGGCCGTGGAGGCAGATGATAGCGGGTTTCGTTTCTGGGTTCATTTTGTGGCTGGCCTGTGTCGGGTTGGGTGTTGCTGGTGGTGGTGGTGTTAATGGATTGGAGATTGGTGTGCAGTGCTGGACACTGGATTGAGTGCTTAGCCTAGCTGGTCTTTTGGATGGAAGCTTGTCTTTTGATTTTTAAGAAGCGTGCCTTTAATAAGACGCCGTGTGTGCTGTATTACTTAACCTCCGGACTTATTGGGGCAGGGCATTTACCGGACCGGCGACTTCTACTGTTGAAGGATGTGAGATTACTCTGTTGGTTTCTCCACGGGCCGGAAAAGGGTCATCAGTAAAAATGGCGTACAATGGAGGGGTGATAAGGGCCTCAGAGACTTGTTCATGGTACTTAAACACACTGGGATATAACGGGAAATAGAAGTTCGAAGTCTGTCTGATTCTAGTTATTGGGAGTATAAAGTCACATATACCAACCATATGGTGAAACATTCCAAAGCCAAATCGTAACTATGAATTAATCATAACCTGCGCCAATTTCTCGAGTAAAGACGTCTCTTTCTCAGAAATCATATCCACCGCAGCGTGTATCGAGTTATTCGCAGCCGCAGCTGCTGCCTGCAAGCCACTCGGTGGTGATGATGCATGCGGTGGTGGTCGCCCCTGCTGATGCTGATATTCAGGCGTCAAGAGACTAATAGCATCACGCAGCTGATGAACCATGCTAGAAATCATATAAGCACCCACCGAGGTACTCATGGCCGGCTGGGATGCAAGATTGAAGGTACCCAGGCTAACGAGGGCCAGATTCCCAGCGCGGGTCTTGAGATTATCCACAGCAAGGTCCAGCAGCTGCAGGGCGTATGCGTACGATGTCGCGACTTGTAAGACGGTGATGTAGTTTATCCTTAGTGGGTCGAACGGCCCTCCTCCTCGTTGAGTTGGCTGGCCAATTCCGTCGCAGGGATCAGGATGTCCGGCATTGACGCTGGCTGGGGTGAATGGCGGTCCTGTCCCAGTCATATTCTTACTTGCAGTACCGTAGTCTGAAGAGGAGCGACGGGCTGGGATGGGGAGTAGCTCTAGCAGCTCTTTGCAGACCATCATGACCTCGTCAATGGCCGGCTGGTGCCCTGTGGGCGATTCGCTCGCGCCTGTTAACAGATTGCTCAGGTGGAACTGCAGCCGTAGGAGCTCATCTGCGACGGTAGTCTTAACAATAGGGACTGTCCCCTTTTCTGACATCTCCAGGTCGGAATCAGAGAAATCAGGAACTTCCTTGTATTTCTGTTGCAGGCTCTCCACTTGATGATATTCCCGGTGGGCGTGCCCATGTCCACGTCCGTGTCCCTGTCCGCCCGTTGGATCATCGTGAGCCGGGTGCGCAAAGTCCGGGGAATACAGCCCTAGGTCCCAGATCACATTGTCGCCAGGTACCACTGGTCACACTCTTTAGCGTTTCGGTTCCTGCATGCAGGGTCTGCGGGTGTATGTACGTTACCTGCGGGGAGGAGAGCAGGATCTAGAATCCCTAACACTGGTTCGAGATTGCGGGGACTATCTGGTTCAGAACCACTACTAGGGCCACTTCCAGGACCGGCACCGCCAGATCTATCGTGTGCTGCAGAAGCTAGATCGACATGATCAACAGGAAGCGGCACTGCATTAGCACCGCGCTGGCTCCCGGCCTGGACGGCCCGTCGTTTAGAGTGTCTGGCGGAGGATGCTCCTTTCTGGTTCTCAGAACCCGGCCGCGACACTCGTGGACGGCCCATGCGCGCACTGGTGTTATACACGCAGTCTATATCAAGCCTCTCACACCGGTCGCACCGACTCTCAGGCCCACCGGCGCGAGTGCATCGGTTCTTGAGTTCGTGGCAGCGGTCACATGCCGCGCGGAGCTTTCGTTCACCGTTCATCATCTTCTTAACGGCAATAAAACATTCGCTTAGTGAATGAACTTAGTGCCTTGGAAATCGGCTTATAAAGAATGGCCTAAAGGCCCGGGCCGTTGCCCCGCTCCTGCCTTTCGCTCTTCTATTTTGAGAGTACTACACGCCTTGATCATTCCCGCGGACCAATTGTACAAAAGGAACTAGGAACTGTTGGATTTCCTTACTGTTAGGTCAACAGAATATGCCTGCCTTCTTGTCCAATCATTCATTCTAAAGAATACCTTTTAGGAATCAACCTGGTCAATTTAGTCTGGTATGTAACATACTAACATGTAGCTGTGGAGGGAAATGTAAGCTGCCTGCGCCACAAACCAACTTTACAGCCTATCAAGGTAGATTCTGTGGGAGAGGAGGAGCACTAGTTCACTAGAGTGGGTAAGCTGCCTCCACAAATATTAAATTCTCATATACGTAGTAGGTATATCAGGTCATCATATAGTGTCGATATCGAATCGCCATATAGTACTGATATCAAATTGCCATATGGCATCAATATTAAATGGTCACATATTATTGATATCAACTCATATAGGAGGATATGAATATCACTATATGTAGATATATATCCATTTTAGTAATGGGCTACCCCCCAGACAAACAAAAACAATCTTTATATATGAATTATAAGGATACAGAGCACAGTAAGCACTAACTTGGTATCTACTTGTAAAGGATCCACGAGACAGGGTAGATGAGCCTGTTGACTAGGTAGGACTTTTGTAACGATTAGCAGCTGACGGAGAGATTAGTAAGAAGACTCGATATATAGTATCAAGTAGTAAATCACTAGATAACAAGACTAATCCTTGTATTCCTAAGTGCTCAACAAGGGTGTCTACATGTATCTTCATGGACCATCCAAGATGTTCGCGGTGGTGATTCGAAAACAGGTCGAGTGCATGAAACGGTAGGAAGCAACCCCTTGGGGGTGCCACACAACAAAGCAACGGGAACTGAAACCAATCTGTTACATTAATATCCATACTTACGGCGATTCAATATCAATACTACATGACCATTTGATATCCCTACTGTATAGCGATTCGATAATAATACTCTAGTGCTTATTCAATACGGACACTATATGATGTCTTTGATACTATATAGTATTTGATATCAGAGTAGTGCGTGCGAGCGTAAGGTGGGAGGGAGTGGTAGGACGTATCACACCGGGAAGTGGGGTGGGAGCACCTGGCATGGATAATCATCGTAAGAAAACCAACACCATTACCAGTCTGGCTGATCGATCGGCCAGTGAGAATCTTAGTTCGTGCCGCAGTCCTGTTGGTTGGGATATTATACCACTAACCGACCCTTCCACCTACACAGTGTAGTTTCAGGGTCGCACGCTAGGGCGACCCCGCCAGCTCAACGTAAGGGGCCATCTCAACGTCTAAGGATATGTACTTCGTCCGGACGCCCTTTTAGCATAATGGTAATTTTACTCGTCCACTGTGGTTTTGAAAGTGTCAGAGATACTCGTTACAATGGTATTCCTTCGGGAGAGGCTGATCTCAGATAGTTGCATCTTCCTTATCTCTCTTTTGGGTACGAAACTAAGAATGCAGTATATCACATAAATCTAACCAATGGAAGTACTCTGTTCATCGGATTTCTAACCAACCGAGCTGCGGCCTACAGAGAGCTTAGCGCCGCGAGAATGAGATTGATAGTGGATTGTCCAGACCGGCCTAAAGAGAGCCTCGAGCTGCTCCAATGGGGCTATTGGGCAATGCCATTGTCCCATTTGGTCTATTGCTGCCGCTTGCGCATCGACCCCAAACAATCAGAAACAAACAAGCTTGTCTAAGGCCCTCTAGATAGGCTTACTTTGCGTCGGTATCTGCGGCTCCATGCCCTTAAATGCGGCCGCCACACGGAGGTTTTCTCTGCCTACCACCGCTGAAGTGTAAAAGTCGCCGGATGGGTTGGACAGTGATACAGTTTACAGGACATGCGTCAAAGGAAGGAATTAGTGAATCCTGGAGTGGGCGCTGAAACTATCAAAATGCCCCTCCCAGGCCTTCCCAACAGTGAATAAGCCATCACATTCAGAAGACATTCAGAAATCCAGTCAACCTCACCGTCACCATCACCATTACCCAAAATGACAGTCACAAGTTTGTCTTCCTATCCATCCATCTCATCACTATGCAAATAAGCACACTAACGCAAACATTACTTCCCCCACAGCAACCCCCGACGACTGGAAAAAGAAGGCATCAAGCTACAAATCCATGACCGGCGGGCTAAACGTGAAACCCATAACCGTGATGCTGGAGTGCCTGAACTCGCGCTTCCCACTCGCATCCGCAACCGGAATCCTCGACGACGGGTGCGGGCCTGGTCCCATCATGACGCGGATTATCGATGAGTTTGGGAAACATCTTCCGGCAGAGTGTACCCTGGCCTGCTCGGATTTCGCACCGGCGATGGTCGACCAGGTTCAGGAGGCGAAGAGGCGCTTCGTCGCTGATGAGCCGGGGTCGGTTTGGGGTCGTGTTAGGACCGAGGTCCTGGATTGTATGGACTTGGCTACTGTTGGGGATGGAGAGATGAGTCATGTTGCGGCTGGTTGGGTATGTATCTTCTTTTCTTTCCCATTTCCATGCTTACCTTGACATACATCGTATGTGCTCGTTCTGATGCTAATTTTTTGTTGCTTTGTGTGTGTTGCAGTCCTTCTTCAACGCCAACAACCCCCAGAAAGCGCTCTCCGAATCCCTACGCGTCCTCCAGCCAGGCGGCGTGTTAGCAGCCTCGTCCTGGGCCGAAACCGACTGGCTCAAGATCCTGCGGACAATCACGAAGATCGACCCGGCGCGCAGCCCGCCCGCCATCCCCGAGGACTGGGCGAATGCAGGTAATTTGGTAGCGCAGCTTGAGATTGCGGGGTTCCGCGACGTCGATGTTTATGAGGTCCCCGTCGATATACCGTTCCGCTCGTATGCGTCGTTTGTGGATGTGATGATGACGAGGGTTACGCAGATGATGACGGCGAGCCAGGACTTGGATGAGAGGCAGAAGACGTTGCTGAGGGAGTTGATGACGGAGGAGATGAAGGGCTTGTGTCCGACTGAGCCTGGGGTTCTCAAGGCCGTTTCGTTGGTTGCTGTTGGGGTGAAAAGTTGACTATTTATCATGTACTTTGTATTCTCTTGGCTTTCGTCAGTGATGGGGTTCCTTGGGTAACTAGATGGAGTCGGCAGGAACTAAATCTATCTTGGGTTATTCCACTGACAAGACGGGCTCCCTAGCTTTAGCTGTATTGTACACTTATAAATGATAAGTTGTACCCGTGGACAGTAAAGCATATTGGCAATTACTAGTGCCCTTTGGCTTATCATGACAAGTAAATATTGACTTCGCCTTGTTCAATCCAGTACAATACTACACAGGTAAAGGCAAAAGTGAGAACACCTTGCCGGATGTTTTTCGTCTACTCCGTATCTCAACATCGATCGCTTCTCCGTCCCTCCATTCTATAAACCCATAAAGACCACTCGTACTCTTGAGATCACAACCCAGTAGAACAGAATTGACAGCTCTACTGCTGTTCAGCCTCAGCCTCCTCCGGGTCAGTCGTCTTTTTGTCAGTAATTCTCTCCCACTTAACTCCGAAGGCCAGGAAGAATGCTGCAGTTGTCGTAGCAACAGCAACAAACTATCATGCCATCTGGTTAGTTTCAATCCTCCTACAAAGCCGTAGCCGAAAGGGCACTTACAAAAGTCGAAGTAATAGCCGTATTATAAGACTCCAAAACCAAGTTCAACAAATCCGGAAACCTCTGCTCCGCAGTACCACGCACCTTCGCCGTCCCAGCAGCAGACAGCAGCGCAATCTGCTGGGCTTTCAAACCCGCATGGTTTGCCAATTCAGAAGCCAGGATCGAACGAAACACAATCCCGCCAAGGACCTGCGTGACTGTGGCGCCTAGGTACTGGAAGAAGAGATTCAGCGACACCGCGACGGGCATGAGCTCTGGCTTGTCGCGCACGGCTTGCTGGACTATGAGCGATGGCATTTGCTGCGCCATGCCGACGCCGAGACCCTGGATGACCTGGAAGCCAATCCAGTGGCTAGATGGGGTGTTGAATGTTGAGAATTGCGTGTAGAGGGCTGCGGCGGTGCACATGAAAAGGGGCCCGACGTAGAGCCACGGGTTGTAGTAGTGGATTCTTCGTGCTGTGTCCATGCTCAGTGTCAGCTTCTACTTGAGCTTGATACATTAACACGTAAGATGTGAGTGTGTAAAGTCGTACCTAGAACACCAGCAGACAGGGTTCCGACTATTTGAGAAAGCACCGCGGCCAAAACCCGCGTACCACTTTGCAACGGACTCGCGCCTTGCACGGCCTGGAACCATTCAGGGAGATAGTAGTTCAAGATACCGAGAGAGCCGAAGTGGCAGAAAGAAAACAAGACACTAAACGAGACTGTCCGTCTGGCGACGACATTCCCCGGTATCATCGCGCCCTCGCCTTTATGGGCTTCCCAGCAAACAAAGAGGATAAGCATCACACCGGAGCCCACAAACAGCCCGATGATTGTCGCTGAGTCCCAATCCTTCTGCGTCCCACCCCACACCATAGCAAGGAGCAGCATGAAGATAGCCGGAATGAAAATTGCACACCCGAGGAGATCCAGGTTCATGATTCGCTGGACAACGGTCCGATCGCGCTGTATGGACGGGGGTTTGAAGAAGCACAGCATAGAGAGCAACGTCAGAGCACCTGGGGGAAGATTAACCCAGAAACACCACCGCCAGGTTGCCTTCTCCGTGAACGCGCCGCCGATGACGGGTGCTAGAATTAGCCCCATAGCGAAGCAGCTGCTGCATATGCCTAGCAGCAGTGGTTTCGATTTCTCCGGAGAAACGGTGAGAACGATAACGAAGCCGCCACTTGCGACACCGGATGCCCCGATACCTGCGATTGCGCGACCCGCGATGAAAGTGTTACTATTTGGCGCAAAGCCACAGACGAGACTGCCGACTAGGAAAATGGAGAAGAACGATATGTAGATCCAGCGGAGTGGAAACGTCGAGCTTAGCTTTCCTGCTAGCGGAGTCAATGCGCATGTTGTGAGTGAGTAGGCAGCCGGATACCAGGCCAATTGCGACGTATCCTTGAAGTCGGACGTGATGGATGGGATGGCCTAGCCGTGGGGATCAGATCATTGAAGTTTTTCGAATAGCAATGGGGGTGGTAGTAGTACAGTTGCGATGACAAAAATATCCAAGGACATCAGGAACGCGCCGAAGCATATGCCTACGAAAATGGCAAAGAGCTTGAAACCGTGCATCGCGTTCGCGTTTGTCTCTGGATCCTCAGTGCTGACCTCATCACTGGTCGCATGCTGGGCTTGGGCAGGGCTGTCCGCATCTCGTTCTGACTTGGTAGCTCTCGTCGCCTCATCTGGGGAAGACGCAGCCATATTCGAGATTTAGCTGATGGACCGTGAAACGAGAGTGGCAGAATGCATTTGGTCATAGGCAAATGATCAAATCCATGACTGCGTGACGCACGGACTCGGAGTGTGTTGGACCGGCGACATTCGTGGCTTGAAAGTCGCCGGTTTCAAAGGTACATGATACATCCCCGTTCAGCCGCATCTCTGGAAGAACAATACTCCAAAACAGTTATTTTGAGTTAGTTATGCAGATCAAACTACTGCTACTACCTGGCTATATAGCAGATTAATGCAATTGATGAGGCTTTGCAAGGTTTGAAAGGCAGGGATTTCCTACAGCCTGGCAGAAATGTCTGCTCACAAATTTGGGATCATAAATGAGACTATGGATCTACTCATCGCATGCACTTTCAGTATGTTGACCAGCTATATAAACGGGCTATGGTTACAGTGGTTAGTTAGTTGGTTGATGTCATTTACGCTGACCCCTCGCTAGCTATGGTTACAGGGTTGATTATGATGATGATGATGATGATTTCATACGCTGACCCCTCGCCCTCAGTTGTAACCCTGAATGGAGGTACAAGTGTGATGATACTCATACTAACTATGTGAGCAGGTACGGCTATTTATAGCCAAAGTAGCTGCCTTCCTACTGTCCAGCTCACCAGCTGCCTCCTAGGCTACCCCTGGTAGCCTACTACTTCACATATGGTGTATCATATGGTCACGTCATCTTAGGATCCAACACTCCCCCTGTACCATAGCCCCGAGCTATAGTACCATCAAAGGATCCCATATCCTTATTAAGTGTTATACTGTTATGCAGTACCCCTTTGAACGGCTGGGTACTTATTTTATGTATATCAGATCCTTTTGCCATAGCATCTTCCCCTGACTGAAGATTAAGTTAATCTATTAAATATTCATATATAGGTCCAGGTAATACTTTGGTAAATATATTAGCTAAGTTATTTTTTATATTAATATATAGAGTATTGATAACTTCTTCTTCTTTTTCTCACAAATGAAATAGTGTTTTATATTAATATGTTTGGACCTGCTGTGGAATTCCTGATTTTTAGTGAGTTTCAGAGCAGAGTTATTGTTAATATATAGTGGAGCTGTGTCAGTAGACTCCTGGGATATAGAGATTATTGATAAAGTTCTGAATCTATACAGCTTCCTTAGCAGTCTCTGTATCTGTAATATATTCTACATCTATAGTTAATATGGCTACCGTCTTCTGTCTTTGAGATAACCAGGATACAGGTCCTTCAGTAAGTATAAAGACCTATCCGGTTATTAACTTGTGCGAGTCTTCATATCCAGTAAAGTCACTATTTACAAAGTCTATAAGTTAAAGACTATATTTATCTAAGTAGGTAATTCCACTTCTTAAGTTATTTTTAAGATATATAAAGATGCGATCTACAGTATCTATATGTATCTGATTTGGGTTAGATATATATTAAGCTATATATCCTGTAGTAAAGGCAATATCTGGTCTTGTCTGGCTACTGGTAAAGTTCAGGGACCTGATCTTTAACTGATATTCTCTTATAGAAACTTATATCAGTAATAAAAATATCTTGTTTTATAAGCTTTATATCTTTATTAAGAGATATTTTAACCGGTGCCGTGTGGTTAAAGCTATATTTATTAATAATCTAGTCTATATACTGTTTTTGGTAAATATAAATTTTACCAGGTCTCTACTCTATATATATACCCAGATACCAGGAGCAGTCACTCTTGTCAGTTATAGAGAATATCTGGGAGATTTAAAATTTAAAATCAAAATTACCTGGAGATCTTTATCCATGATATTTATGTTTGTCTATATGGACTTCAAGTATAAGTCCAGTCTTATCTTTGATAAAGACACAAGGATTATAGGCAGACATATACTAATCCTAATTACATAGAGTATTCTGGAGTTTTTGGTACCACGCTCGTAATGCCTGTTTCAATCTATAGAGGGCCTTGATAAGCTGTAAGCAGTATCCACAAGGTAGCTATATATCTTTTAAGGCTCTTATATAAACCAGTTTATCCAGATTACTGTTTAGGAACGCGGTTTTTATATTCCCTTGATGGACATGCCAATAAAAAATTGCCGCCAACACCAGTAAGATATAAGTAGGCTGACTGTTGGGTTGGGATGGGATGTCACGGATATAGGATTGGGCAATCAGTGAATGAGTAGTAGACACGTGACCCCTTTGTCTATAAGGGCAGCAAAGCACAATAGCTTCATGTTTTCTTTTCTTTTCCTCTCTTTAGCTTAGTCTCTTAGTGATAGACTACCTAATCAACTATTGATTCAGCCTGAGTCCCTTACATGGGACGGGAATGGGAATTTCCCATCCCATCCCAAATGTAGGGCTAGAACGGGAATCCCGTCCTTGTCTTGGCATTATTTTGGAATTTTGGAATGGGACAGGATTCCCATTTCCCATCCCAAAATCCCAAAATCCCAAAATCCCATCCCATCCCGAAATCCCTGGGATTATCCCGTCCCAACGGTCAGCCTAGATATAAGTTAAAGCAGGCTTAACTATAGACATGAATATCTCTTTATAGTCAATATCCTCTTCCTGTTGGAAACCCCTAGCTACTAGACAAGCCTTATATTTGGTAATCTCACTATCTGGTCTATACTTATCAGTCATGATCTAATATAAGGTAACTAGCTTAATCCCTTCTAGAAGTAGAACAATATCCGAAGTACCTTTCCCCTTATAAGCTTTTAATTTATCCATCTTTACTTTAAAGTATTTCCTATTAGCAGCAGCCTTTATCTTTAAGTTAAGAAGTTATAGATAGATTTGTTAGGCCCAACCCACGAAACCCGGCCCAACCCGGCCCAACCCGCGGGCCTAACAAGTCTAGTTATAGACCATGTTTACTATATACAGATAACCTAAATTTAAACTGCTTCAGACTCTCTTTTATCTCCTTATGTCAGGCATTGGCCTTATTATTATCTGGACCTGAGTCCATAACTTCTTTCACCTCCAGTTGACTGATTCTCTTTTTTCTTGATAATCTGTTCTCTAATATATTCCTTATAGCCTTAAGTTCTTTTGAGGCTTTAAGCTTCCCCTAACCTATATAGTTTTTATAGTCTTTCTAAATCTTCTGCTCCCCTATATTGTTTGACTTAAATAACTGAACCATCTAAGATTTATATGTTCTGTTGGACCTTTAATAGTTACAGCTGGCCATATTATTTATTTTTTGTGCTTCGATATATAGATAGTATAGTTACTCTCTGTTACAGTTCAGCTTTATTCTCTGACAGCGCACACATTCCTCGTCGGATGATTCCCCTTCTACTAAGGGACCCACGGAGAAGAATCCCTTTAAGAATAGTGAATTAGAAACATGATATAGCCTAGTTAGTAAGCTATTTTAAACTTTATAGATATAAGTTAATCTTTAATTAATATATCCCTTACATAGTTATCCGCAATCACATCTTTTCCCTATCTTATAATAGCTGTATTAGATGCATGCAGGTAAACCATCCACATCCTGTAGCTGACATGATAGACATGTTAGGGGTATATTATATTTATTACACAGATACCTGCCATCATATGTCTTTAGTTTTTCGGCGTACCGGTGGTACTTTTGATCCTGAGGAACTGGTACAAATCTGAGCCTTTTGTACCTTGCCTGTTATTCAGCCTTTCTTTTTTCTTGCCGGGCTGTTGATTTCTTTGCTCTGTCTAGGTTCCAGTTATACTGATAATTTGTTTTCTTATATACTCCACATTCTGAGTCTTTTGAGTCAATCAGATAGCAGTTGCGATTCCTTTGAAAGTATTTCCTATAAGATAGATCTTAAATTCGTTCTCTAATCTCTTTCTGCCTGCCATAATTCTTAGAAAGTATCAGTCATTTAGTTTCTTTTAACTGTAGCCTGCATCCTTGTTTCTCTCTTTTGTAAGTAGAGCAGGGTATTCTATTTTTGGTAGAGCTATATCTCCAGCTGTTCTGAAAACAACAATCATATCTATTATTGTCCAGTAGGAAGTTCTTCATATGGTTCCTGCCATGTTTTAAGACAAAGTCCCAGTAGGCCTGCGATATTTTTCCATTATCTAAGTAGTACCACGAGTTGCTAGTTATATCTATTGCATCTGATGTATCTGAGTGTAAGTCATTCTGGTCAGTACTGTATTAGTCATGAGTGGCTTGACAGCTCTTCTTTAGTGCCACCATTATATCATTTGTAATCCTGCGTTTAGCCATGCCAGCGTGTCTAAATTGGTTAAAGTATTTAGATACAGTTGTAGGTCGCGCTTCTTTAAGATTAGCTTATTTTTATTATCAGTGTCTTCAACTTCAGTCTGCAACTCATGTATAGTGTCTGAAGTGAGCTGTTCTTGCCTTGCCATCACTTCTCTTATAGTATTAGTAGGATATTCTGGTTCTAATTCTAATGAAGATCTTGTGTCCTGTGGATTAGGATAAAAGTCTCTATCATAATTAAAATTGCTATCAGGATCACTAGATATCTTATCTTTGTCTTCTGATATAACATGATCTAAAGTATGGCAATGAGGTCCGAATACGGATTCTCTGAGGCTAACCCGAATAATTTTATAGGATTATGAGGCGGACCTTTCACATGTTGCTTTGCCGAGAATACGCTATGCATAGACACATTCATTTGCGGACGCTATCGGACGCTAGCGGACAACGGTGGATTTGATCCGACGCGATAGTTGAATTGTTGACTGACTGAGTTGCAGCCGTGGTACAGATACGAGCGTCATTTCCGGTCAGAACCTTGCAAAAACAGGTATAAATACAGAGCAATGGGTCTTGGGCACCTAGGTTTCCAGCAATACCGGAGCATACATGCAATATAATTTCTTCTTTTTCAATTCAATTTGTGGAAGTTTGCTCATCACACTTAATATTGATCTCGTACATACAGCAAGCCATGCCTAACAATGCCTTTTCTGTGGATGCATTGCCAGACCTATCTGGCAAACTGTACGTCGTCACAGGCGGAAATGCTGGCATGTTCGTACTCCATTGCTGCTAACCAAGTATTGCGAAGAGTTCGTTAACAAATCAACAGAGGAAAAACGACTGTTGCCGGTCTAGCTAGCCGTGGGGCAAGGGTTTATATGGGTGCGAGGAGCGCAGAGAAAGCTGAGAATGCCATTACGGATCTCAAACGAGAGCTTGGAAATCCACGGGCTGATATCGTTTTCTTGAAACTCGACCTTACTGATTTTAAGTCTGTTGTCGAGGCAGCTCGGGAGTTGAGAAGGTATGTCTTCCCATCAATAACTCGGGACATGACCTGTGGGAGTGACAAAAATACCCACTTTCTTTAGTAAAGAGACTGCTCTACATGGACTTATTAATAATGCTGGTATTATGGGCGTGCCATTTTCACGAACGAAAGATGGGTACGAAATCCAGTTTCAGGTATTGCCAGCGTTGTCATATACACATGCCCTGCTTTCGTTGCGAAACTAATGATTGTTGATTTACACAGACAAACTACCTCTCCCACTGGCTCTTCACCTATCATCTCCTGCCACTACTGCAATCGACAGCTTTGCCACAGCCAGGGACCGCGCGTATCGTAAACGTCACATCGGACGGCCACGAGAGATTCAGGTTGAAGGAAGGAATCCGGCTGGACGATCCAAACTTGGAGTCTGAGTCTGCAATGGTCAGATACGGACATTCAAAACTGGCAAATATACTCCATACGAGGCAGTTGAACGCCGTGTATGGGCCGAAGGGGAAGAAACCGTCCGGTATAATAGTAGCTGCAGTCCATCCAGGGCATATTGACACGTAAGTCGTTACTGTCATTCCTTTCTTTGTTTCCGTTCGCTGTTGCTTTATACACAGGTAAACATGAGGGCTGTGTATAAAGATGAGGATGGACGGGTAGCTGATACCTTTGACAGAAATCTCAACAAACAGGCTACCGGCATGGCACCAGCCGCTGTTCTACGTATCATGACCCCAATCATGAAATGCACCGGAATTCTAGATCACGAGGCCAAAGGAGCATTATCGTCGCTATTTGCGATTGCAGACCCGAACTTCACTGAATCTGGTGCTTACATTGTTCCATATGCTAAAATTGGAAAACCGAGCCAGATGGCTAAAGATGATCAGTTGGCAGAGAGACTTTGGGAGTGGACTTTCGAGATGTTTCAGGAAAGGGGCTATTTGTAGTCTACTTGAATGATGGTTGCTTTCAGCCAATTGGTGTCTAAATGGTCTGTCGGGCTGATGGATGATGGTTGTTATATAAATTGAAGTATAGAATTCAGACTGGCCTGTATTCTTTGTCAACGACTTCAGGCGAGATCAGGAAAAGGCACAATTCGTGATATTGAGATACAAGTTGGATTGTTACACTAGTTAATCTGCTTTAGATCAACGTTGTCGCCTGCGGAAAGTATTATAACTTGCCTCTGCACTCGATATTTTCATCCCAATAATTTCGTTAAAGCTAAAGTTAAAGTCAAGGTCACCTATAATGCAGCACATTAGTCATAGCTTTCCTATATGAGGCCTCGTTTCCCGGGTCCCTATACGAATGGATGTCGTTGTTCCCCTAACACCTCCACCTGACGCCCGATTTTCTATGAAAACCGGACTTAGAAATGAAGCTCGATCACCATATATATTAATTATTATACTGAGCTTTTTTAGTGATTTCTAATTTTACCCATATATAACATAAATATTGATTTTAGTGATCCCGAAAGCGCTCAGGCAGACGGATCTGCCTCCCTCGACGATTTACTATACAAGATGCCTCTGCAACAACAACCTGATCTGAATCATCAATATCATTCCTATTCCTTGGTGTACAAGGTATAGAGATCCTATTCTTGCCTTTCTTTATCTGATTGGTATCATTTTGGAGCTGCAGATTGGCTTCTTTAGCAAGTTTTTCATCTTCCTTTTGATACTTTTTTTGATTTGCTTCCTGCTCACGTATCTGCTTGTTTAAAGCTCGAATTCTCTTGCGTTCTTCTAACAAAAACTGTTTTTCTTTCTTCTTCTGCTTTTGCAGAAGCTTTTTATCTTGTTTTGCAGCTTGAGCAAGTTCTATAGCTTCATCTTTCTGAACCTGCAGATCCCGAGCTTGCTGGATCTTATTAGGTGAGTAAAAGATTACATTACCATCTTCTAAGCACGCAGATTATGCAAAAGAGGTTTCCCACGTTGACGCTTCTTCTGCTCATTCTTTAGAGCCTTTTCAAGCCCTGTACAACGCAGTTTAAGCAGTATATTCTCTGTAGAAAGATAATACATAGTTGAATTCAGCTTTTTAGCTTTTTTATCATAGATATCAGAAACAGTTTGCCGAAGAAGTTTTTCAATACACCGCTAGTCTTCTGCATTCAATATAGAATGAGAAGAATCACTAGATGATGGTCTATTGTTGTTTTCTTCGGCAAAACGCATCAAAATCTTTTCAGAATCCCAAGGATATAATCCTACAGAACTCCATGCACTGTTGATATTTTTTGTTGGTAAAGCTGTGTTCCACGCTGGCCAAAAGAGCCGAAAGAAGTCCGGTTTTCTAATATGGCTCAAACCTTGACAGTCATATAAAATTTCCTCCAGCTTAGTACTGTATGCAGTAGACAAAGGACCGAAGATACTGACATCCAAAGGCTGCAATGTATGCGTAGCATGAGGAGGGTAAATAGCCAAAAGGATCTTATTCTCATCACAGAAGTTAATAAACTTCATTGTTATATGAGAACCGTGGCTATTTAGAATTAGAAGCCTCCAACGCCTACGCGCCTTATCCTTAATTTCTCGATCAAAAATATCAGTAAGCCAGGCATAACCAATATCATCATTTGTCCAACCACTAGAAGATGATGTAAAAAAACAGGTATGGCTCTTAGAACAGAAGTCTTGAAGTCAGGAATCCTGTATATTGCCTGAGACAGCTTGATATATAAGACCTGGAGAAAGACTGCTTCCATCTGCAGAAATGCAAGCAAGTGTGGTAATCCATTCTCTATTTCCGTCCTGCACACGTTGTTTAAAGCCTTCCTGCTCATATTTATAGCGAGAGAAGACTCTTTTGCCTTTTGATGGTATACCAATAAGGAATCCTTTTTCATCCATATTGTATATATTCTCTGGATGTACATCATATTCCTGGAGTTTCTTGGCCATAAACTCAAAGTGCTCAAAGTATAAAGCATATTTATATGCTTTATTAGCCTTTTTGCGTTGGGAATCAATTCCAGTCGTATAACGCGCAATAAGCTGAGTATGGTGTTTCTTTAGAAATCGAGTTGGCCACTGCTTTCCTGGCTTAACTCCAGTAATCTCCTTGGCAAAGTTCAGTAACATTTCAAGTATAGTGGTAGGCCTTTATCAGTAAGATCATTGATCCATTTTATAAGTGTTTTGGCCTGCTGGTTGTTGAGGATTCGTTGATCATTGTATTGCTCTTCTCGAGAACGTTGTATACCACGATGACGTCGGGATAGTGTAGAACGGCTTATACCATGCTTTTGGGCAATCTTAGTATAATTGATTGCTTCTTCTGTCTTCAAGCTTTCAATCTCTTCTAAAGCCGCCTGAATTGAAGCCATCTTGGTAGAGTTATGGTGTTTTGAAGAATGACAAAAAGTCGGTGTATACCAAAAAATCGGGCGTCAGGTGGGGCCGGGCGTCAGGTGATAAAGTACGGTATACCGGGCAGCCGGCCTTAGCTAAATCCGGGAGCTTAAATCCGATACTGGGTACTGCCTACTACGTACGTATATCAATTTTGACAAACAGCAACATCCCAGAAAACGACAGACATCACAATATCCTATCATGACTTCCAAGCCCGTTATTCTCATCACTGGCGGCAACCAGGGTCTAGGCCATGAAGCTCTCAAAGTCCTGGCCCGAACCAACAAATATCAACTTGTCGTTGCCGCTCGCTCTCAGTCAAAGGCCGACGAAGCCGTCAAGGTCATCGCTTCTGAGACTGGCGCAGACCTTTCAGACTTGACGCCGGTCGTTATCGACTTAAATAGCGACGAGACCATCTTTGCCGCAGCTAAAGTTGTTGAAGAGAAATTCGGCCATCTCGATGTCCTGGTCAACAATGCGGGTATTAACCGCTCCCCCAAACCGAATGCTACCCTCCGTGAAGACTTCCGCGCCGTCTTTGAAACCAATGTCTTTGGTGTGGCCGTCATGAATCAGGCTTTTCTTCCACTCATTCGCAAATCACCGTACTCTCAGCGCCGGATTGTGACAGTCACCAGCGGGCTCGGAATGTTCGGCGTCGCTTTGACGGAGAGCTCTCCCTACAATGCGTGGCACTACAAGTTTCCCGTATACCGGAGTAGCAAGTCTGCTACGAACATGATCTCAGCCGTTGATATGATTGCATTACGGGAGGAAAATATTTCCACTGTTCTGGTCGAGCCAGGATACTGTCGTACGGCGTTTGGAGGATACCAGGGCCACAAGGACGCCGACGAAGGTGGGAAGGTAATCGCGCGTGCTGCTGTTGAGGGGGATAATAAAGACTTGTTTCTGAAGATTGTCGACGATGAGGGGAAACATGCCGAATTTGGCTGGTAACCAAGTAGTAGTATGGTATTAGCATCGTTATCTACAAAATGACCAAATGATCTTAAAGGTTTCCACAGGAACCGTATTTTTGAGTAACTGTTAAAATTTCAACGTCCGAATATTCCTAGTCTAGCATTCTGCATAACTTACGTTTTTGTGATACCACAGACATCAAGGAACTGATTTCCCTGGCATGGAATGAGGCCGGAATTCATCACCACTGAGAATCGAGAGGTACCTATCTGCTGCTATTTTAGCCTCATGCGTGACGACGTGCTGAAATATCATTTAAAAGATAACAAATCTTAGAATCATGAATAAGAGAGGGCTACCGTACCCGCAACAGCCCATGTACCGGCAATGGCTTGCAGAGCGAGGGTAATCTCAGACGCCTCATGCAGCAGTTCAGGTTTATTCGCCTCGCGGTAGTACCAGAAGTAGTACTTTGCAGCCTCGTATAGACAATTAATGGTTAGTGGGCTTATACCGGCATCTCCGACTTCCCCGGCCCTTATCCCACGAGCAAAGCTAGAGACAGCGGTGCACACTACTCTAACGCCTGCCAATGCAATTGTCTGCATTTCGAGCTGCTCTGGAATGCCGACACCGCTCAGGTGGTCAAAATCTGCGCAGGTGTGCATATCGTAAAGAAGCATTTGGGCACTATACACGACACCGACTGCTGGGTGTAGAGATCTGTCACCAATCAGGGTGCTATCAGTATCACCTTGCGAGCTCTTTAGAGTCAATCCCGTTGCAAATGAATTCAGAAGATAGTGAAGGCGGATGCCTTCCTTGTACCAAAACTGCATATCGGATGGCTGTTCACTGATATGGCGAAGAACCCGAGAAAGAAGGTCAGAGGCTTGACAGAGTCGTGCGAACGATGATATTGCGTGCGATGCATCTCCCGAAACGGCGAGTGATGGGCTCACGCTCGGTTCCTGGTACTGTCAGATTGTGGGACTCGACAAGTAGTTGATGATGTTTGTACCCCTTGATCCCACGAACTCTCCGTCGTGGGTAGCATATCCTCAGGGTGAGCGTCGTCACACGAGAAGGGTCGATCGATCAATCCAATTGTAACGTATCTATAGACTTACAATCAGAAACATATAATATCACTTTTAAGATAAGTTGAATGGTCACTCACCTGTCGAGAATTATGACTCCCCACCAGACACGACGGAGCTCCTCAACTTCCACCCAGGACCCTATACCGGGTGTTAGAACAATTCCGACAGAACAGGACGTCACTGATGTCATGTTTTAAAAGTGCGAAAGGAGAACTCAGCGTTGTCTTGATCTGAGATCATCTGCTGACCTGATCTTGGAAACATTTGTGGCGCCTTTCGCCGGCGATGAATCCCAAGAGCGTGCCCTAGTCTGGCACAGAGACCGGCAGATAGATACGCCGCAGGATATACGCCGCTTCCCACCTCCCAGTAAGCGATAAGTAGGGCTGCCTGTAAGACGCGTGGAGTTATGATTCCCAGAGATTCGACGGACGAATAGCAGCGCTTCACTTGAGCGTACAGTTCTCCGGTTCCCGAAAGACCCTGAGAAGCCGTAATAGATAGGAGATGTATGACCAACATAAGTAGAACAAGAGCAGGATCTACGTTCTCCCCTTCGAGTGATGACTCGTGCAGACATAGCCGGTAAGTCCTCATTTTGGATACTAGTCCGTACAATCTCTAAGCAAATAGTTTGGATTCACACGGAATGGTTGGAGTGGTGGCACGCGTACAAATTGGGAAAAATGGATGAACCATCGTAAAGTACCGATCTAAGTGGTCGCTGAAGCTGCCAGGCCCCGAGTTGATAGCAACCCCGAATTCCGAGGGTATTCGGGCTTGACGAAAGGTCATTGAGAGACCACGGTTGCGGAACAGCCATGTATCAAGGAAGAAGAGTGCTGATAATGAATCATGGGAAACACCCTGGTAGATCGAAATCAGTATGGTCCTACGGCTACTTGTTCTGTAGAACGATTCAAGATGCTCTAAGCGACTGGTAGTAACAGACGCACATTAGAGCCACGCGTTGTCAAATCGAAATTACCCCCAAACGTCTCCGAGGGGTACTCGCAATGCCTGTCCTTTGTCAAGCAGCGATCACATTGAGGTAATTGACGGCTACACTTTCGCTTTTGCGTAAAACACTGGACGCACGCTTGTTTTGCCAGTCTTCTGTGGCAGTCACTATTGGCAGACATTTCGGTCTCTGGCCGAGAATCTGCGACTTAGTCATTCCATTTCGTCCACTTTGCTGCTGGATTGTTGGAGTTGGGATAACTTACTATCATCCCCTTTCTTAATCACCTGTCAGAGGGTTGCTGGTCATCAGTTTACTTGAGAAGTGCTCCCTCGTGGTGATCGCTAGTTTGAGTGACTGCCCATTAACCTATCTAATCACGTGCATAAGCACCACGTGACAGGGTTCCGAAAATCGGCCAATCAACGCAAGGCTTGGCACGATTTCCCAGGATGAGGACTGGTGACACGCTCTGCCGCACGCTGTAAGCCCTGAAACAATAAGAAATTAGTAAGAAACTGTTATGAATCTATACGAGACCACGTGATCCTAGTGGCTTGGCCGGATCACCGGCTCCTAACCCCTGAAGGCTTTACCCATTAGTTGGGAGAGAGAAGAAGCAGTCAAGATAGTTGATATAGTCGTCCATAAAATTGAGATCTATCCGAATGGCATCCGGTCCTCAGTAGGCTACGTACGTGTAGCTGATACAGCATCATTCTGCCCATCTTTCCCCTGAGATCACAACAGAAACAAAGAGTCACATCTGAGTTTGCAGTTTTAATCTATTGGCAGATAAGGATTGCACAAGAAAAGGTGGCCCAGTCATACAAAGTATAATAGATTGGTTCTGTAAAGTATAAAGAAGGGAGAAGAATGAGTAAAACAAAATATAGAAAACACTTTACAGGGATCTAAATTGAAAAGCAGGGGAGCAGAGAGATAGCAAAAAGGGAGAAGTAGTATTAACTGAAAGCAGCAAGCAGAAGTCAAAGATTATATCTTTGTATATCAACAACACAACAAGGAGAATATGTAGTGACTATAAAGATAAAAAATGTGACTGAAGAACACATGAACATGAAAAAGTAACAGCAAATAGGAGCAAAACTTGGCTAAAAAAACCGGACCAATCAGCACCGCGAAACATAAGGATCGGCGAAGGGTATGGTAGTGGGCAGCAAAAGCTTTGCAAGGGAGGTCGCGCAGGGTAGTAAACCCCTCCACTTCGTTCCTCGTTTCAGGGCATCGCAGTGGATCCCGGTGGGCGGGGCTCACAGGCAGGTTCTAACCTTTCACTCCCTCTGGTCATTTCAGGGCACTATGTACTACGGTATGTTGAGTAAATAATGTTAGTAAGCTCCACTGGAAATCACTACTTTATTAGGTAAAGATGAGTTTCTAGCCTATATACACGCCCTATCTAATATATACACGCATAATGATATCTTAAAATTTAGTATGACCACCATCTCCCTCAATGACTGCATGGCATCTTTCAGGTATAGACTTTAGTAGATCTTGCAGAAAATTAGCTGGAATAATCTCCCACGCCTTTCTAAGGGCTATCCTAAGTTCAGATAGTATTATATATTCAGGAAAATTTGCCTGAAGATAGTTCTTTATCCAATTCCAAATTATTTTAATAAGATTAAGATTAGGTAAGAAAGGTGGCTATCTAATTATATAGATACCATCTCTCTGAAGCTCTTAAATAGTAGATTGAGTATTATAGCCTGGAGCACTATCTTATACTAGTTGAAGATAGGTGTTAGGCGCACCTTACAGCGCCTGCGGGTGATATAGTAGCACGTGCGGGTCACGTGCTACCCGCTGCGGTAAAATCTTTACTGCACCCCAATGGCTTCAGAAACCAGTGATCAACCTCTGTGTATGGTAGTAGATTGTTCAATAGAAACCCAGTCCTCTGCTCCTGCCACCTGCGGTGCCGTAGCACGCTATTCCCCCTACTACCTGCAGCTCCCTGAGCTGCAATTAACAATTTTGATCACTCCCTTAGGTTCTCTTACCCCTGAATAGCCCGCTATGGCACCGCAGACGCGCAGGGCAGTAGCTCCTGCGGGAGACACTGGATCGAATACCCAAAGCCCCAGGGAACTGCATGACCTGACAATCTCAGAATTAACCTCCATGACAATAGCCGCAGCTACTATATCACAACCCCACAGAAACATAACTGTGCAAGCGGGATCAGGAAGCACCTCTCCATTGATAATAAGGACTCTAAGTCCTGTCCTAGAGGAAGAAGTGCGGCTTATAGAGCAAGAATATTAGCGGATCTAACTAGAGCTATAAAAGCAGGAACTTAACTGTCTAATCAAGCAAGAAAAGTAAAAGCTGCAGGAAGTAACTGAATATATAGAGACAGAACTATTGTATCCTGAACCAGAATTAAATAAAGTAAACAGAAATAATATAATATAAGTCTAGAAAGTACAGATATCTTTTCTCTACAGACCTTCTAGCTGACCAGTAATGAGTGGAGAATACTATAGAAGAAATATAAAAGAATATATTATATTTATAGCCTGTATAAAGAATTACTTTACTGTTAATTAATATTATTTCATTAATGATATAATAAAGGTTATAGATGGCATTTTCTATCTATTAGTAAACCTTATATACCTGTAGGATTAATATACTAATAAACAGGAACATGTGTTAGGCGCACCTTACAGCGCGTGCGGGTGATACAGTAGCACGTGCGAGTCACGTGCTACCCGCTGCGGTAAAATCTTTACTGCACCCCAATGGCTTCAGAAACCAGTGATCAACCTCTGTGTATGGTAGTAGATCGTTCAATAGAAACCCAGTCCTCTGCTCCTGCCACCTGCGGCGCCGTAGCACGCTATTCTCCTACTACCTGCGGCTCTCTGAGCTGCAATTAACAACATGACTCTACTTAAAGTAAGTTCTGTAACTTTCTTCTATAGCAGTTAAATAACCCTGTCAATTTATAGCAGAATATAAACCAGAAATACCATAATATAAAATAATAACCC